TGGTCTGTCCGTCAGTCCTCTGTGGGGCAGAGAATCATGTCACGTTGGTCTATGATTTAGGGGTTTCAGGGTTGACTCCAATGAGCTGAGTGAGGCAATTTGCCTCCTGAGAGCATTAATCCAAGCAGCAAGTTATTAAGTTTGAAGATGTACACATATAATTTACATTTCCATAATCATAACATGTTGCCTGAATAGGCTTCAGTGATGGATCACATCTTAGCCGAGCCATCTGCCAGGTCAGGTGGAGACTTCTCTGAGCAGAACTGGTAGAACACAAAGTTTTACCATAGACACCTGATGACAGACGTGAGAACACAGCACCTGGAAAACTGCCCCTGCTTGCGTGGGTCTAACATTTTTGAGTGCTCCTCTCTTTGCAGAGAAAGCAGAATTGTGATCTTCATCTTGCAGGAGAGAAAACAGATGGACAGAGAAGTAGGGTGACTTGTGCGACATGGCACAGCTGACAGCCCTTGATTCAGGGGGCGGGCTGATCCTCTAGAGGTGCCCTAGCAGGAGGGGCTGAGGGTGGTGGGTGTCAGAAGCATGCCCAGGCAGAGTGTGCAGGTGGCTTTAATGTATGCTGCATGTGACCTACCTTTCCCCAGGTATCTGGCTGCAAGAAACAAGGAAAGGACTGTACTATAATCCGGGAACCGGGGAAACTGAGGACAGTTTCCCAGGCCCAGCCCACTGACCTGTCTATCCTTGCATGTCCCTGAGGCCTCAGTCTCTCTACTCTCATGACCATCACCACCATCAGAAAGAAAGAAAAGTTTTTCCTGGGCCAGGACCTTACCAATCACTCAGTCCAACCTGCTCTTTTGGCAAGTGGCAAAACCAAGTCCTGCCGAGGTGAGGAAGCAGTGGCAGGCCACTGAGCAAACCTGCAGTAGTGGGGACGTGGCTAGGTGTCTGCCTCAGCAGCCAGAGCTCGCTGCTGTACCTTACCTGACTCCTGCTTGCCATGTAGGCTGCTCTGGGGAGGGAAGTACAGTGAGTGGCCTGTGCACTGAACCGTGAACAGCGACCTCGCTGTCCCCAGATGGCCCAGCCCAGGGATCGAGGTAGCAGAGGTGAGCACGTGTGCAGGGCTAGTAGAGTGGCTGGTATCAGAGAAGTACCTGTCCGCTTTCTTTAGGAATGAGCTCCTCTGTTTACTGATGCCCTTGCCAATACACAGACGCTATTTGGAACAATGCAGGAGACGAGGTGGTAAGGAGGAGGGAGAAGCCTGCCCCTCCCTGTCCCCATGATGCACATAGGCTTAAAGGAAACAGCAGCGGAGGGAGCTGCTCCTTCGGGATCCTGATGGACCAAGACCATATTCTGAGAGCTACTTAGATATCAGAAGTGCTGCCTCAGGGTTCTTGTTTTCTTCAGTTTCACCAGAAACATAAAGCAAGCGGCAGAGGATGATGAAATTCCTGCCCACATTTATCCCCTCAAAAGAGTTTGTGTCCGAGGTTCAGAGTGGTCCAAAATGGTCTAAGCTTTGGATTTTCTGACCCTATTTTCTTGTGATGGGGAAACCGAGGCCCAGAAGGCCATTGGCTTGCCCAGGACTGGCCACGCGTCGGGGGCTGTGCCTCTATCCCCTCCCTCTCAGATTTTCAGGGTCCCCTTCTGTAAAATATTGGGGGCAGACCTCGTGCAGGAGCTCAGTGACCTCCAGAGCCCCTCTGTGGCTCGAGCTCTCTGTGGTGTTCTCATCAAAGGCATTATCCTCCTCTCAGTTCTCAAGGTTGCTGTTGGCCTATTTATAGAACTGACCAAGAGGATTCTACTATTGCCAGCGATAAAGAATACAAATGATGCGCTAAGCATCCTGTTTTATTCTTCCACCACTTCCTTTCTTAATTCCTTGGGCCGTGCTACAGCATGCTTTCTCTTCCCCATGGAAACATGCCAGGGAGAGGGGCAGTGGGTTCTGCCGTCTGCTGAGCGCCCACTGTGTATAGGCACACGCTTTGCCTTATTTCATCCATGACATCTGCCAGGCAGGAGTTGTCCTTCTCCCCATTTCCCACGTGCTTCTCTAAGGGGCGAGCAGCCGGCCAAAGGCTCCCACCTCACGTGGCACAAGTGTGGCTTAACTCCCCTCTGCCCTCCTGCCAGTCCACACAGGTGCTGTCTGCCTGCGTTTGTCCCTGTCCCCAGCTCCAGCCAGCCTTCCAGAGTAGACATGCTGCAGGATGATGCACACAGGGCTGTGATTTCTTTGGATGATATTGTTTACTTTGTTACCTAATGAGGCTAGACTTTTCTCAGGACCTACTGTGTGATGCTCAAAGCTTTATCTCTCGCCAGGCACAAATATCATGGAGACCTACTGTGTCCTGGCCAGTACCTTGTCTCTGTCACCAGGACTTACTGTGCACCTGGTGCTGCCTGGTCCTACTGAGTGCCAGCTGATGGCTTTTCTCTTACAGGCTGCACATGTTATGAGGACCTACTGTGTACCTGGCAATGCCTTGTGCCACTGTACACAAGCATTATGGGGACCTGCTGTGATGATGATGCTTTGTCCCTCACCAGGCTTCCTACTTGGTTCCCTCCAGGCCTGGCACACAGTCAGCCCTTATCAGCAGGGCTTAGTCTCATGATGTACAAAGGAGCTGGGCCACTGCGAATGGTGGCAGAGCTGGGAGCCACACCCTCCTGGAGGAGTGAACAGTAGGCCAGGAGGAAGGGGCCGGAAGATTTGAGGCCCACAGAGGATGCGCGGCCTCAGGCTTCTGCTTTGTTGTGGCAGAAGCAAACCCAGTCTTCTGCTCCTCCGTCCCACAGCTCCAACTTAACAGAGAGTTGATTTTCCCAACAATTCCCTCATGGAGTCCTGGGGGATGCTCAAAGATCACTGTAAATCTCCCTTTACCCATCTTCTCAAGCACGTCTTTTAAAATCAGGAGCTTGGAGAGCCGCTATCTCTCACTGTCCCTGTACCAGGGGCTGGCTCTCATCTGGAGATGGAGGCCCGGCGCCTCCTGGCTCTCTGTCCTCTGGAAGAGGTTCCCTTGTCAGAGACCCCCTTCCCAGCCCCTGCTCCCACAGGCTCTGAAAGCACACCCTTGGTCCCAGCTGGAGCTGGGAAGCCAAGCACAGCATATTGGGGTGAGCTTGGGGGAGAGCAAAATGTCCCTCTCCCTCTTTTTAGGCATATTATTTTCTTCTGATATTGAGAGCATTGTACCCTCCTAGTGGAACATTTGGAAAATACTGAGAAGTAGGAAGTGCAAAACATCAATTGCCCACATTCTCACATCAGAGAGAAACACTCCAAACGTTGGCATGTTATTTGTTTTGTTTTTCCTGTTGGGTTTTCCTCTTAACATGACTGAGATCACACTATAAGACATGTGTGTAGCTTTTTGACCCTCTTTAACATTAAATCATACTACATGCCCATGTCATTACAAACTCTTTGCCAATGTAATTTTTAAAATGATCATCATCATCATCATTAGTGATAGTAGTAATTAGTAGTAGTAGTAGTAGTAGTAGTAGTAGCAGAGTTTTTGAATTGGGATCCCACTGTATTGTCCAAGCTGGTCTCAAATTCTGAGGCTCAGTGGTCCTCCCATCTTAGCCTCCTAAGTAGCTGTGTGTGCAGGCTCACACCACAGTGTCCAGGTTGTAAATATGATTTTTACAGCAGCATGAAATTACATTATGTGACACCATTATTGATTCAGACAGCCCCCAGTTGTAAGGTATATTAGTCAGCCAGGGCTGCCATAACAAAATACCATAGATGGGCTGCCTTAAACAATAGATGTGTATTTTCTCACATTTCTGGAGGCTGGTGGTCTGAAATCAGGTTGCCAGAGTGGCCGGGTCCACTTTGAGGGTTGTAAATGTCCACCTTCTTCCTGCGGCCTCACCTAGAGGAGAGAGAGGGAACTGTCTGTGTGCGTGTTCTCTCTTCCCTGTCTTCTCTCCCCCCACTTCCTCTCTGCTGCCTCCATTTTATCTCTAGTCTCCTCTTCTCCTCTCCCCTCACTCCCCCTCTCTCCAAAGGCAGTAATCTCATCACAAAGGCTCCACACTCCTGGCCTCATCCAACTCTCCTCACCTCCCAAAACCCCTATCACGGCAATACTACTTTGTTGGGGGTAATTAAGGCTTCAGTGTGTGAATTTGAACACGCATACATTCAGTCCTTAACATGGGGTATATTTGCTGTTAATCTAGTGCTAAGTGACTGTCTCTTTGAACAACAGCTACAGGTGCATTATGGGAAAGCAACATGGCCGGTCTCAGCTTCTACTCCAGGGTATAGTGTTTGGACTTACCACCATTCCATGTGGCTATTCCATCCCCAGACTGGAAAATGTATTACAAAGATGGTGTCTGCACTCAGAAGTAGTAGCTATGGGTAATATTTATTACACTGAAAGGAAACACAGCAAAATGAGCCCTGGGAATAGACACATTGGCAAAGTCCAGAGGCAGTCTGAGCTTCCAAGGGTCCTCTGTGGGTGAGTCACACAGCATGAAACTGTGACAACATCTGTGAGATTTGTCTACCCGGGAAGCTTGTTAGAAAGCACTCAAAGTTTTACCAAGGAGTGGATGTACCCACCTTCCAGGCCCCCAGGAGTAACTTGAGTCTTCAGTGTGACCCATGCTGTCTACACAGTGAGCCATGGCTTCAGGTGGGGACATGCCAAGTACTCGTTCCCAGACACCAGGCTTCCCAGAGGCCAGCCTTGCAAGGAGACCTGTCTATGCAAAGCAGCTGCGGGCCTGCTAGGTGAATTCTTATCTGCACATATATTCTTAGATGTCATATTTCTTGTGTTCTGACTACTTTAAGATAAGGGTGGGACAGAGGTTCCCCTTTCTGTAGGCCAAGACTAAGGACTAGGGAAGAAAAAGGGGTCTTGGGGGCTGGGCTCCTTCTCCCAGGGACGGGGTCCTGAGGGGAATTGAGGCTTTCCTAAGGCAGGATAAGAGCCCTCCTTCCCTCTAATTCTGTGTCACCTTCTCTCTAGGCTCTGAAGGGCTCCAAGAAGCTGATGCTGTCTGTATACTCAGCGGGGTGCATCCCCGGGGGCTACATCACCAACCACATCTACACCTGGGTGGACCCACAGGGCCGCAGCATCTCTCCCCCCTCGGGCCTGCCCCAGCCCCAGGGCAGCACCCTGAGACAGCACGAGGGTGACCAGAGGAGTGGCCTGCACCTCCTGCAAGGCGGGGATGAGAAAAAGGTGAGCTTCAGGCCGCACAGGCCAAGGGCTGGCAGGGTGGGGGAGGCACCTTAGGTGCCACACTCCTTCCCAGCCAGACGGGGAAGCTCCATGGACAATGGAGGAGGGGACCTGGCTCTGCCTGAGTCCCTTCCCAAGGATCTTGTTTTCTTACACTGTGTGTGTGTTACAGCACAGGCTAAGCCACCACAATGAACAGCCCAGTGTCTCCATGAGGCTTTGATTCAACGAGAGTCCTCCTCCCATACCAGGATAGAGGGGCCACCTCCTCCGGTGGGACAGCACTGCCCCAGGACTTACTGTGGGACCCAGGATACCTCCATCCTCCAGCCCTAGGGGTGGTCCCCTTCCAATGGTGGAAGCTGGGCCACACCAGGTCCCTGATCTAGCCTCCCAGGAAAGGAGAAGAGACAAAGCTTGGAATATGGCTTTAAATTAGAAATGACAGCACTACTCATGGGTCCAGGCCATGGGTCCTGCCAGGTTCTTGGCTTGGCCAGTGCTAGGACTCTGTGCTCCCTGGAGAACTTTTGACTGTGTGAGTCTGGGGTTGTAAGAACAGAAATAGGCCTTGGTCAACTTCTACCAAAAAAGAGCATGTTGAAAGGGTTCCAGAATGGAGGTCCAGAAAACTTAAGAGTGCTAGCGATCTGACCTCCCATCCTTCCCCTCCAGATGTCTGCTCCAGGGAGAGAGCAGCTGATTGGTTGGCAGATGCCTGGGCATTTTGATTGACAGAACAACCAAGAGTCCAGCTGGTGAGGGAGGGGTAGTTGCCCAATGCACCATGGGGTGCTACAACCTGAAGGAGACAGGAGCATCAGTGTCCTCTACAGAGCTCTCCTCCCCCTAGAAGTGGACTGTTTCTTACAAAAACAAAAGTACTGACATGGGCCCCCTCAAGTCTTCACCTTCTCTCTGGACCCTGTCTGCACTGCATTGGGGAGCAGGTGGGGAGTCCCAAAGACCAAGAATGTGCTTCCTGCCAGCTGCTCTCTGCTGCTTCAAGACCTTGTTCCTGACAGCAGCCAGGATCCAGGCACGCAGCCTGGGGTTCCAGGCCAAGCATCTTTCCCCTGGAGACTCTTTCTCAGCTCTCCTTTTCCTGTCAATAAGACTATAACATTTATTTAATGCGGTTTGTGTTCTCTGCTCAAACGTCAATATGCAAGACATGCGGAGATCACCACCGGGAGGGAGGCGGCGGCTGAGGTAGCTAGTTGGTATGCGGGTGGCTGCAGCCTGGGCGTCATTGGCAAAGTTGCCAGGCTGGGGCCCCTGATGCCCTCCCCTCCAGCAGGCTCACTCCCACCCGGCCCTCTTGAGAGGGTGTGGTGGGGCCAGGTCATGTTCAAGGCCAGCCTCACCATGGTGAGCAGAGAGCTGACTGCATTTTTCCCCCCAGCCCCTTTCCTGTGCAGGGCCAGAGCTTAGAGTAGTAATTATCCTTGACAGAAAGCTCCCAGGGGGCCAACCTCCAGGCTCGGGGGACCTTCCTAAGTCTTGTGTTTCACTACCACCATCTTAAGGATGAGGAATCTGAGCTCAGCGCCATGGCAACTGGGACCCACTCAGAGAGTCACCCGGTATTTATCAAGCACCTGTGGTGTATCTGATGATGTCACAGGAGGAAAGGACAAAGCAGCAGACAGGATGGTGGGGCCCTGGTCTGGAGAAATTTTCAGGGAGGTGGAAGTTGGTAGAGGGAGGCAATAATCCAGGAAGGAGCAAGATAAGTAAGACCTGTGTCTTAGTCCGCACTCTGTTGCTGCAACACAATACCAGTGACTGGGTAATTTATAAAGAACAGAAGTTTATATGGCTCTCAGATCTGGAGGCTGGAAAGTCCAAGAGCATGGTATTGACATCCAGTGGGGACTTTTCCTGCCACTCCATAGCATGTCAGAGGGCATCATGTGGAGAGACGGAGCAAGAGTGCCAGCTTCGATCTCTCTTCGTCTTCTTATAAAGTCACCAATGCCACCATTGTGACCACATCGAAGCCTTATTACCTCCAATGGCCTCCCCTCCAAATGCCATTAATGTAGGACTTTGGGAACACATGCAATATGAGGACACGTTCAAATCATAGCCATGGTAAAAACTGATGGAAGGAAATCACATCAGGAGGGGCAGAGAGTGACAGAGCGGGAAGTGCTGCCACTGTGAGGTGGTCAGGGAGGGCTTCCCAGAGAAGATGACTTGTGAGCTGAGACCTACAGAGAAGGAGCCATCAGGTACCATCTTGGGGACTAGATATCCAGGCAGCAAGGACAGGGTGAGCAAAGTATTCAAGAATGTTGTGGCTAGAACTAAGTGGGTGGGTGGATGGAGGGTAGATAAAGGCGCCACCTGGGCATCTTGTAGTAACTTATATAAGAATACAGAAGGCAGGGTCTGAGATAATCATGCCCCAAGGAGAACTCAGACACCAAAGGAGGCGGGAAATAGCCCATACACCACTAACTTGCCAGCTGAGATTTTTTTGTAGGGTTGAATGGAATAGTGTCAGTGTTGCAGGGATGGTTCAAACCTCGGTTCTGCCACCTGCCAGCTATGTGACCTTGGACAACTTGCAGTCCTCTCTGAGCCTTCTCTGTGAAGTAGACAAAACAGTAGGCCCTGTATGCCTACCCTTGTGTAAGTTCTGTGGAAGTAAGGATCTTAGTTTTGAGCCCTGGTACATCCTTAGTGCCTGGAATAGTAGGTGCTCAGTAAATATGTATTGCATGAATGACTAAATTAAAGTGCAGTCACCTTGCCTAGGCCTGGAACATAGTAGAGACTCAATAAACGTTCCCAGCATTTTAGTCTAAGTCTTGTTTGATCCAACTCACATACGCACTGCTCTCTGCAGAGCTGTGGAGCATAGCGAGGCCATCTACTCCCCTCAGTGGTATTTTGTGTTGTGGCCTCTCCCTTTGTGCTGCTGCCCTTCATGGAGGGAGGGAAAGGTTCTTCCTCATCTCTGCCACCCCCAACTCACGCCCGGGAAGGGTGACACTCATCTCAGGCTGGCAGGTCTCCAGGCCTCAGATTTTGGGATTCTCACTCGGTCAGCTGGGGCTGATGGATGGAAGAAAAATTTTGTGTTGCTCTGTGGCCCATCGTGGCCTTCCTGTCTTGAAGAGCTTGAGAAATTATATGGGGGGAGGGTGGTGGATTCAAACATTTCTGAGGTTGTTGTTTTTTAATTGTGGCAAAATCCATATTAGCATGTATATTAATCAGTTTCCCATCACTGGGACAAAATACCAGGTACCCACAAGTTAAAAGAGGAGAGGTTTCACTTGGCTCACGGTTCTGGGAGATTCAGTCCACGGTCGTCTGGTGGAAGGGTGTGGTGCAGGAAAGCTGCTCAACCCTTGGCAGCCAGGAAGCAGAGAGAGATGAGAGGAGCCAGGGAGAAGAACACACCCTTCCAGGCCACACCCGCAGTGATCTACTTCCTGCTAGGCCCACCTCTTAACAGCACATTCAGACACGAACTTATCAATGGATGAATCCACTGATGAGTGTAGCATCTCTTCCCTTCCCCAGTCCATCTTCACAGTGGACCTATTTGGGAGGTGCCATAGCAGAATGGTGACAGTGCTGGAGACCACAGCTGGGACACAGCAGGGACCAGAGGCAGGGCCAGTTCTGTCACTTTCCCTTCATCCCAGCCTTCACCCTGTTTTACCTTGCCAAGGTGAGGGGGCACATTTGGGGCATCTGAACCTAGCACCGGGTCCAGGGAGGGATTTGTTCTGGAACATTCCACGAGGTGGATGTAATACATGTACTGTGGAAGGGGCATAGGGGGGTATTGTGATGTGCAAAGAAGGGAAAAGGCCCCCAGAAGAACCAGAGATGGCCCCGGAAGGGAGCAGCATTGGGGTTTTGGCCATGAGGCATGGAAGGGAAAGCAGACAGAGGGAACAGAATGCCAGTGGAACGGTGGTGAGAGAGCAAGACAGGTCCTGAGGGAAGTTGTGTCACTGTGGGCCATGCTGGAGAAGGAGAAGGGAGACAGCCCCACAGGGTGGAGATGCCACTCAGGCATTAGGACATGGGGAGCCCTTTTCCTGCAGGCCACAGACTCAGGGTGTTCTCTTGGCTCAGGGTCAAGAAGGACAAAATGGATCCCTGTGTGCAGGGACCTTTAGCAAGATCCGGAGGAACCAGAGACGCCACACCCATTTTGAGGGGTGTGAGAGAGGTTCAGGAGAAACGGAAAGAGCAACCAGAGCCAGCCCTGCTTCCCCTAGTGCCAGCCAAGGTGAACTCCAAGGGCAGAGCTGAACCTGCGGGTGGGCGAAGTCAGGGTGACGTTGTTCTTGAGTGGAGTTGGGCTGAGCTCATCTAGGGATAGCTGATGCGGAGGAAGGGTCGGGCCAGCCTGTGGGATGGGGCGGTGGGGATGTGAGTGCAGAAAAGGAGCGCAGGGGAGGTGACTGCATTGCATGGGTGGAGGCAGGGGTGCTCTGTGAGGTCTTGGGGTACAGGGAATGAGCGTGCCGTCTCCAGAGCCTTTTCTGGGGCAGGCGCCTCCCCGCTGATTTGGGGAGCCAGGCTGAGCTCCGGGGCACATCACCTCTTCTGGATTCTCATGAGTGGGGGTACAGCACTCAGCCTGGGCACAGTCGGACAGCCCAGGGACACTGAGAGGTGCTTTGGGGACCAGGCCTCTTCCTCCCACTGGGGTTGATCCATGCATCACCCTTGTATTCCCATCCCCCCTTTTTATTGGGGGACATAGGATCCAGAGCCACCGGACCATGGCCTCCTGGTTCATTCCTGTGTTCATTTCCGGACTGCAACATGCTTTCATAGAACCATGTGACTTGGAGACATAGGGTCATTATTCCCCCTTTCCACGTGTGGGTGTGAAGGCTGAGAGGGTTTGGGTGAAGCATCCTCGGCCTCGGGCCAGCAGCAGGACAGGGCAGGCGTGTCCCCGGTCCCTCAGTATCCCTGGCTGTGGTCCTCTCGGGCGGCTTCTGCACCATCACCACTCCCTGTGGGGGCGCAGACAACAGCCTTGGCTCTGCATGCTGGTCAGCATGTGGGCTGCTCCGAGGGTGACTGGGAGGAGCAGCCATTGCAGGACTCAGGTTCCTCTGCCACATCCGGTCACGTGTTTTCTTGGTGGTCTCTGATCGCCCATGGTCCCCATTCTTGGATGAGTGTGAGACCCGCCAGTGGGTGCAAAGCGGCATGGAGCTCATGTGTCTTCAGCAGCCACAGAAACAAGATGGAAGGAGCCTGGTACAGAAGGAGCGGGAGCTTTGGGCTGACAGGATGGGCTTTGAAGCCTCTTTCTGAACTTCCCAGCCCAGTGACCTTGAGCGAGTCAGTTAACCTTGGGTGATTCGGGATGGTCCCACCAGCCCTGTGAGTCTGCTCCAAGGATTAATAATGGTGCACATGGACCCAGCAACACAGGTGTGAGGCGTAGCAGTGAATTCTAGTGACAACTCAGTTCTCGAATGCTGACCAGGTACTAGGTGCCTCCCAGGTCTCTTCCCTCAGAATAATCAGAGTCCCTCCATGGGCCCAGAACTGCCCACTGTTCACTGCCACTGGGCAGGCAACTGTGAGCAGGTATGGCCCCTGCCCAGGCTCCTGTGCTATTATTGGGTGGCGGGACTCGAAGGGGGTTAAGATAAAAGATGTGCAGGATACAGTACAAGGCAGGGGGTAAAGCAGAGAGGCCTCCATGGTGACGGAACAGCAAGGTGGACAGCACTGGCAGCCCGGACATCTGGAGGTCCACCTTGAGGGAAAGGGAGCCATAGCAGAGGAGGGACCAGAGCCAGATAGGTTTCCACGGGACAGCTTCAGCTGCTGAGTGGAGGACAGACAGCAGGAGATAGGGTGGAAGTGGCGGTGGCCTCATCCTCACAACCCTGAAAGAAGGTATCAGTGAGGCATGCTTTTGGTGCCAGATAACAGAAAACCTAAGTGACGGGAGCTTATCTATGAAGGGTGCTTCTGGTTCTCCTTAGAAGTGTAGAGCTAGAGAGCCCCAGGTATGGCTGGCCAGCTAGGGAGTCTTTCCTTCCTTTTGTTGCTTCATGGCTGCAAGATCACACCTGCTTCTCCTGCCATCACAGCCTCTCATGGCTGTGTCCAAAGCACAGTGATGGAAGAAGTTCACTTCTCTCTTTTTAGAGTGGAAAATCTTCTAAGAATCCCCTAGCAGATACCCTCCCCATGTTTCTTGGCCCAAACTGGCTCAGAACTACCTGAAGGAATGGATGGCTCAGACTGGCATCATTTCCTGGGGCTGCTCCTGTTACTTTCTAGACAGTCAGGGCTCCATGGCAAGGCAGGTCCGGGGACAGCTGGTGGCCAGGTCACTGGCAGTGCCTGCTCTGGGCAGGTCGCACAATTCTCATTTTATTAATGGGCCTACCCTGAGGTGCCAGCAGTGAATGGCAAGATGTGGCTTTCGAGGATCTGGTGAAACACAGGCTCCACAGGCAGGCCAGGCTCTGCGCTGTAAATCTCGGCCTATTACTTGACTCCTCAGTGAGGGCTGTGCCTTAGTTTCCTCATCTGGAAAATGGGAGTAGCAAGAGAAACACAGAGGAGGAATACTAAATGAGGGGAACCGGGTAAAGTGCTGAGCACAGTGCACGGGACACAGGAGGTAGTTCGGTGAGTAGTTCTTTTCTAGTACTGTTACCCTCAGCAGCCGGGTTCCTCACTGGGCCAGGCCGCCTCTCCACTTCGTGTTCTTTCCTGTAGGTGGATTCTGTCCATGCAAGTGCTGCTTGGGTTTCTGCCGAGTGACTGAGGCAGATCACCCTGTGGCTGATGGCACTGCCGTGACGGTTCTGGGATAAAGACTCGGTTTTCTTCTGACGTAAAGCATTTGTGCAGCATGGTGGGCCGTGGGGAGATGTCTGCCGTCCTAATTGCTTAGAGGGCCCGGGGCCGAGTCGCGCCGCCCTGGGTGTTGCCTGGGCTCCGCTGCAGGGACACCCCATTCCTCTCACTCCCTGCCTGCTGGACTCGTGTCCCAGGGGAGAGGTAAAGGTGGGGTGTGGCTCCGGGGACAGCCAGTGTGCCCACCCAGCCAGGCCTGGCCACTGTTCCGTACCCTGGAGGTGCAGCGTCAAGCGGGTCTGACCTGCCAGAGCGCGGGGGTTAATAAGACACAAGCTGCCTGCTCTGTCCCCAACCTGGCCACCGCCTGCCCCGTCTGAAGCCTGCCTCCCGCCCGCCCTGTCCTACAGCGCACGGCCTCGGGAGGGCTGCAGAAAGACACCCTCTCTCTGTGTCCCTCCCAGGAGGCCTCCTGAGCCCCATCCGAGCCCAGCCTGAGCTTCTTGGCCCCACAGGTGGGTCTCGCCTGCCGCCCTCCACAGCACACTCAGCCGTTGCAGTCTTTACCCCTGGCTCCTTCCCGCGTCCCTGCTTCAGCACGTGAGGCCCTCGCCCCTGGTGGACTCAACTTCCTGCCTTCTCCCCTGCACCCCCAGGCTCCCGGCCCCAGGGTGGATGCTGAGGCCAGGGTTTGCGGCGGGGCTCAGTCACCCCCTCTCCGGGGATGCCGCCCCCTGCTGGAAGCTGTGAGTAGGACCGCACATGGCTGCGGGTGCACAGCCGAGTTTCAGCCAAGAGAGATTCTGAGAAAGGGGATTATCCGGATAGGGCGGTGTCGCCACGAGGTCCCCGAGAGAGAGAAGAGGCCAGGTCGCCGGAAAGGAGGTGTGACGCTGGGAGCAGAGAGGGACTGAGCAGGACGCCGGCTGGTGGCTGTGACGATGAAGAGCGGTGGCCCCATCGGGGTGTATGGCGTCCCCCACGGAGCGGTGGACAGGACGGGCTGCAGGAAGAAGGGGTCTCCTGGCCCACTCCGCGCGGCTGACCTCTGGAGCTGCGGGTTACACTCTGCGTCGCCAAGGCTCTGCTTGGTGGCAGTTGTCTGACAACCGTGCAAGGCCCTGGGCCAGCGCTGTGAGGGCGTCGTGGACACGGATGCCCAGGATGCAGTGGTGTGTGTGGCCGTGACAGAGGTCTGGAGCTGGGAGAGCCCTGCAGAGTCGTCCTGAGCCGACATGGGGGTCAGACACGTTCGCCCCTCACTTGTCACCGGACGGGGCTGGTGGGGAAAGCCTGAGACACTGGGGGGAACCCCTGGTCCAGGCTGGTTTCCAGGGAGGGACCAGGTGAGCAGCTGCAGCCAGTACGCCCAGCCCAGGAGGCGGAGCGCCATGGTGCGGGGAGGAGGGTGCCTTCCTGCCTGGTATTCGCAGGCCTCCTGCTCCTGTCTTCCCTGCCCTGGGCCGCACGGGTCCCTCTTCTCTGACGCACAGCCTGTCTGAGGGGCCACGCCTGGACAAACGGGGACTGGGCCTGCACCAGGCAGACTCCAAGCACCGTCCCACTGGACAGCCTGCTTGGATGTCCCATAACCTTGGAGAAACCAACGGTCACTAATGTTAATTAAGCATTTCCTATGGTCTGGAGTCTAAGCCACACGCTCATTTGCCTCTTAATTTACCCTCTTCTCAGTACCTTACAAACCGGGCCAATACCATCCTCACCCTCATGTTCAGGTGAGGGGGCTGAGGCCCAGAGAAGTTACACAGGTTCCCCGAGGTCACACAGCTGAGCCTCCCACTGGACAGTTTGGGCCAGAATCTCTCCTCTTCACCACCTCTGCCCAAGGAGATGATAGACGCAAAAGACTTCTCCTGGTGGTGGGCACAGAACTCTCTCAGTGGGATAACCTTTCAGAAATAGAGAAATGGATGGGCTCCTCTCATGACTTTGGCCCTCTCAATGCCTGATGCCCCCCCCCCCCGTGGGTTCTCCTTGGGTGTTAACCTGTTGGGGGATGTTTTGTCCCTTTGGGCTGGGTTTGAGCTATTCTGGCCCCTCCTCTTTTTCCCATGCCCAAGGCAGATTCCTCATGGGCAATGAAGGCTTCCAGATCCACCCCCCTCCTGGACACCTCCTTCACTTCAATCCCGAGGGCCCTGTGCCCCTCTCCAAGGTCCTGAGTGGATGACTTTCCTACAGGCTGCGTCCCCAGGATGCTCCCCTCCTGTTTGCTCACCCTGCCTGCCTGACCCTTGTTCCCCACCCAGCCCACCAGGACGCCACCTCCTCCAGGAAGCCCTGCATCAGGACTGTTACCCCTTCTCTGTGTCCCCTTGGCCCGGAGCTGGCCCACTCTGCTCTGATTCCACCGCAGCTGAGGTCTGTCTGCCCCCACAAACTGAGCCCCTCATGCACAGCACAGTGTCTGAAGCCTCTCTGCATCCCCTGCCCCAGTTTAGCGGGTGCCCCCTGCATCTGCAGAATGAAGGGCCAAGTGGACCATCGAGATGGATGGCAGAGCAGGAGCTCCAGGAGGCAGGAGCCCTGAGCCTGAATCACTGTCCTCTCTGGGGCTGTGGCTCCCCAGGCTAATGCCTCCTCCTCTAACCTCCTGCAGGTAAACTTGGTGCTGGGGGATGGCCGGTCCCTGGGCCTCACGATCCGAGGAGGAGCTGAGTATGGCCTTGGCATTTACGTCACCGGCGTGGACCCTGGCTCAGAAGCAGAGAGCGGTGGGCTCAAGGTGAGGGACAGGGAGGGGGCAATTCGGGAGGGAAAGGTCCGCACAGAGCACTTGTAGCTGATTTGGATCAGCCTTCAACGGAGCAGTGGGTGCCCACCTGAGGACCAGCCCTGGCCAGGTCGCCCGGCTGGCTGCTGCCCCTCTAATTCTCAGCCCCGAGCTGCAGCACAGTGGCCTCCGGTGCGGTGCGGTGCTGGGCTGTGGTTCTGCATACACTGCTGGTGGCTTATGATGGCCTTGACCTCGGGGGCTTGGGGCTTCAGATGGTGCAAGGAGAAGGGAGAGGGGAGAGAGCAGGGAGTGGGGTTGGAGCAGCTTCAGGGCTGGTGCTCAGTCCAGGGCTACCAGTAGTGATGGGGATGGCATTATTGTATTTTCAGGAGGGCTGATTATGTGCCCAGCATTTGTTTGACTCACATGTATGCTACCCTGTGGGGTCAGTTGTTATTACTCTTATTTCTTATTGGGGAAACTGAAGCCCAAAGAGGTTAAATCAATTTGTTTGTTTTTGGTTCCCGGGATCCAACTCAGGCCCTAGCACTTTCCAGGCAGGTGATGGAACCACTGAGCTAAATCCCTGCCCGGCCCAAGGTTAAATCAATTTGTTTGAGATCCCACAGCTGGCTGGTTGCAGAGCAGGAACTGAACCCAGGGAGGAGTTAATTTGAAAGCTTGAAATCCTACCTGCTACCCTTAGCACCCTGCTGGGGAAGGCCAGCGACCTGCTATCGAGGCAGAGATTACCCTGGACCCAGGTTTCTGAAATAAGTGACAGTATATGTTTGGGCTATATCTGAATCCCAGGATGTGGAGCAGTGATCATGGCCCCAGCTGGCTTTTGAGCCAGGCCTGGGTGGGGATGGGAGGTGGGTGGATGGGTACAGGGGCTGGGGAGGCAGGTCTCTGGGGCCTCAGCAGTTTTCCTCTGCTCCCTCTTCTGGAGGACATTATGTGATGCCACATGCAGTGTCCTTGGTGACAGTAATGCATGGACAGTTCTCAGATTTTGTTAGTGGCGAATAAACTGACTGAATCCATGTTAAGAGAAAGGAAGAGAAGTGTACAAGAAAGGCTACATGTTAGGTGTCGGCCTGAGGACACTGAGACTTCATCTCCCCCTTCCTCCCTCTCTCTCTCTCTGATTTTGATGGGCAGTACCCCTTTATTGTCACAGAGTCCTTTTTTCTAGAGCTACTATGTAAGATACCTTGCTAAATGCTTCACACTCAATCTCTTACCTAATTTTCACAGTAATATGTGAAAAAGAATGTGCTTTCTCCATATTACAGGTAACAGATTTAGATGCAACATTAAGCAGCTTGCCCAAGGTCACCCAGCTAAGAAGTGCTAGGGGCAGGATTTTAACTCACACCAGCACACTTAAATCCCTGTTCTTAGCCATCACAGAGATAACACACCACCTCCCAGTGATAACACAGGTCATTGTTATCCGCAGTTGACAGCAGAAGAAATGGAATTTTATAGAACTAAAGTGACTTGCCGAGGTGAAAGCTAGGATTTAAACCCAGGCCTGGTGGAGCCAGGGGTTGCTTTGTACAAAGACAGATACCGGGACCTGCTGCTGACCATGTGTGGCTGTGGCTATGTCCCTCCCTGTCCCAGCACCAGTGTCCCTGCATGGACAGGAAGTGAACAGTTGGGGTGGATGATTGTGGAAGTTTTCTCTTAGGCTTGCCCATTTCCCCAGCCTGAGAGGGCCAGAGGGGTCAGATGCCAGGAACATACTCCAGTCCTTCCCCTGTAGGTTCCCATATTCACTGAGAGATGCCTGACTGGTAACAAGCTGGCAGACCTCTCCCTGTGGAAGGAAGGGAGTGGCCATCCCATGCAGGCGTCCATCCACACCTGCCACCCTCCTCCCTTCCCTTGGGTCAGCAAGTAAGTCCACACCCATGACTCCTGTGGGCCAGGCAGGATGCTCCATGGCTTTTGAACTGGGCAACACCATCTCTGGCCTCCTGAAGCTCATAAGCTAATTACACAAATGTTTATTTCATTACAATTGTGAAAAATACCAAGATGGCGAATCCCATGGCACAGGAGAGTGGGTGACAGGAAGGTCAGCCCTGGCCTTGGATTCTGGGACGGTTTCCCAGAGGCAGAAGTGTAGCATTTGAAAGTTAAAAGAAGAGAACAAAATTAATTATGTGAAAGACAGAAGGAGAATTCCAGAGAGAAAGAACAGCAAACGCTAAGTCCTTGCAGTGGGCAGAAGTGTTCCAGAGTGGCTGGCTGAGGAAATCCAGCTGGGGAGAAGGTGCCAGTTGACAACGGTGGTGATCAAGACACACAGGATGGGATCTCACAGGGTGTGTAATTCTCTTGAGGCTGTGCAGCTGTGAAAAGATGATGATCACCCTGTAATCGCAGCACACTGGGAGGCTGAGCCAGAAGGATCACAAGTTCGAGCCTAGCCTGGGCATCTTTGCAACCAAAGGAGACCCTACCTCAAAATAAAAAAATTAAAAATGCACTGAGGATGTAGCTCAATGCCAAGTCCCTGGGTTCAGTCCTCACTCTAAAAAAATAAAAAGATCATGATGATGATGATGATGGCGGTTATGAATGCAGAAGGCCTATTATTAAGTGGCCAACATGGCTGCAAGCCCGCCTACCAGCAGGATCTCATTTGTATTGAACACATATGCAAAAATATGCGTGGAGATACGTCTCCAAGGGACCCACACCAATACGTCCACAGTGTTATCTCAAGTGGGTAAGATTATAGGTGATTTTCACTGTTCTTTACAGCCATATGCAGTATCTGAATGGAGCGAGTATGACTTTAAAATCATGGCAACAGCAACAAAAAAAGCAATTTCCATTTTGAAATGAGGCAGAAGAAAAACATTCCACAGAAGTTTTCCGGCCACTTGGGTGCACCTCTCAGTGGCAGGCTTTATTTGCTCCTAAAATGCCCACCTTTGGTAGAGTCCTTTCTGTCTTCAGTTCCCTCCACAGTAAAGCATTTTATTGTCCGCGCCGCTCTTTTCCTCTCCCCTCGGAGGCCCTCGGCTGTGCCAACACCTGCCCACACTCGCTTGGGCATCCAGGGCTGATTAATTCTGTTTATTGCAGTGCACTTTCAGTGGAATTAGGCATATTGAAATGGAATAAAGGGCTTAGCTGTGTGGGTGTCGGAGCCAGGAACAGGCTTTATTTGTAAATAGGGCTCCTCGTGGCTATGCAGAGCTTTCCTGGGGTGAAAATGCTGCCTTGTACCGGCAACCAGCTGCTCAGCCCACTTAGCTGCCCCAGGCCCAGTTTGAGATCAGGGGAGGGGGCAGGACGACCCTGCCCCAGGGGAAGAGCACTTAGGGGGTCAGGCAGGCCCCTGGCACTTACTTCCTGGGATGGCTGATGGCCCCCTTCACAGTCTTTGGATTTTTATACCTCTGCACCTGCCCCCCAGCTTCAAATTCCACCAAAGAACAGACCATTTTGTTCCTTTAAGGACGGCGGAGACCGGCATTTAAAAATAATCATAAGGATAGCAGTTGGCATTTATTAACCAGTTATTATGAGTCAAACACTGTGCTAAACACTTTGGGTGCGCTTTTATTTAATTCTCTCAATAGCCCTGTGGGGTGCATTAATTGTACGATTTAATAAATGAGCCACTAAGATTCAGAGAGCTGCAGTAACTTACCCAGGATCACACAGGGATCCATTGAAGGTCATGTGCTTTGTTCTGCCACCTCCTGAGGACCCTAACTTGACCGGGGATCTCTGTCCCTAGGGGAGCGGTCCCCATTTTCAGGTGTCTGGTGCAGAGTCTCAGTGACGGGGATGCTCCGTTTGCAGGCCTGGCCTGTGCATGGGACCCTGGCCTGTGTGTCACTCATTGACGGGGCCGGCGGGGCTGGAACTTACTCCGGTGCACCCTGGATTTTGCAGGGGGTCTCTTCTGCCCACCCTGCGCCTGTGGGCCGAGCACCCAGTGAGCAGAGGTGGTCAGTCAGTCTTCGTGTGTGTCATCTCCTGAGACCCTTAGCACAGCTCTGGGAGGCGGCAACCTCTAAGCCCCCCTCACCGGAGTGGGTGTGTTTCCATAATGATGCTCTCCCAGCTCACTGCACCAGTTCGAGGCTGGGTGTCCTTCACTCACTGGTCCCCCTGCCTGAGACAGCGTCTGCACATACGAGGTGCTCAGGAAAGAGTTCTTGGCTTGAAGGAAGGACTGTGGCCAGGCAGAAGCTGAGTCAGAGCTCTTTCCTCCAAGGCCCTCATCTTGGACTCTGGACCCTTTGCATCCTGCTTGACTTCGGGCTAAGGGAGGCAGTGGAGCAACTGCGCCCCCCAGTGAGGTCTGCTCATCCTTCACAGGCACTTGTGGGCATTAGAAGTCACCTCCGTTCTTCTGGCTGGAGGGTAGATGGCAGGAACCAATCTACACTCGCTGATCCCCATGCTTCCCCAAGGAGTCCTGCGGAGGGAACAATCCTGATGGACCCCACGGGTGCTTTCCTTTGGTTCCTGGTGAAGGAAGGGTGTGGTTACTACATAATACTTGCTTTTTGTTTGGTTTTTTTGTGGTTTTTTTTTTTGGTACCAGGGATCAAACTCCAGTCCTTGCCCTTGGGAGGCAGGCGATGGAACCACTGAGCTAAATCCCCGGCCCTGTTTTTAGTTTTTTGAGAAAGAGTCTCACTATGTAGTTCAAGCTGATGTTGAACTCACTATGTAGCCTGGGCTGGCCTTGAACATGCAGTGACCCTTCTGCCTCAGCCTCCTGACCACTAGGATGACAGGCATGCAGCACTGTGCCCAGCCATAATAATTGTTCAATAAAGATCTTTTTAAATGTGCCTTGCTCTGTCACATCCCCAGACCCCTGACTTGACTAAGTATCAAAAGAATGCAGGAAGAAGCATCAGAGGACATTGAACACCTTCTTCGAAATCACCATGATGGTGATTGTGGCTGATTTGATGGTGTTGCAGAAATCTAGGAAAGAAATACAGAGAGACACAGAATTT